CTCCGTCCCGGAGGGCGTCAGGGCACGGCCGCAGCCCAACCGCTTCCTCCGCACCAGCGCCTCCGCAGTTCTCCCTTTCCAGCTGAGGGTGAGAAGGATTCTCTGTGCTGTCCAGAGCGCCCGATCCTAGCGGGACACTCCCAAACGTGCAGAAACTGGACATGATGGGATGCAAACCTGTTATTTGACCGCGAGCTCCTGAGAGACCACGAAAAGCCCTTTCCGAGGCGGCCAAAACGTCTGCTGGATGCTCAAACTAGAGGGCACGGGCTTACGTCCCCTGGGCACCCCCATCTCCTCCAAAACAACACCGCCTCGAGTCTGCCCCCGGGGCTTTAATCCTGCGGGGCAGCAGCGCTGTGAAGCCCTCTGCGGTCTCGCCCACAGCCCAAATGCAGAACTAATTAACAAGCGCGAGAGTTAACGGTGAGCCCTAAATCCCAGGTCGCTAACGTCGGGGAGGGTTGACCTAGCACTCGCTTGGGCCAAAACGGGCACATAAAACCACCCGAGGAACGAAACCGCCTCCTCTACAGGTGCTTTGCAGCAGCAGCTTTCCAGAGTTTTAACCTCCTGGGGAACCTCCCGTGTCCCGTTCCAACCTCTTCGTTCTCCACAACATCAGTCGCTCCCTTAAACACCGATGTCCAGGAGGTAAAGACCTCGCTTATACCCTGCGCATACGAGTTATTCCCACCCTAAATGCCTATCTGACCTCATTGGTAAAGCAGAGTCTTTTGGAGCTACAGGCGCTAGAAAACCACCCGTACCATGCGGGAGATGAATTCAATTTCAGCTCAAAGCTTGGAATTACCTTCGATCTTTGGGCAGGTTTCTAAGACTGGGCTTAAAGAGGCTCGTGCGCAAGCGGCATTTGGATAGGGATGTCAACTGCTCCACGGGTGATGCAGCTAAACACCAGAGCAAGCCGGAGAGACGTCGGCTGCAGAGCTTCAGGCGGCTGTTGCGTGGCAGGAGCTGCAAACCAACGCGGGCTGCTGGCCCGTCCGGCCCCCCGGGACCCGCCCTTAAACGGGCGCGGAGAAAGAGGGC